CAACCCCAAATGTGCCTAGTTGAGAATCTTGCCCTACACTAGTGGTTCTCACACTTGAGGGGACAGCGGCATCACCCAGGGCTTGTTAAAACAGAAATTGCTGGGCTTCCACTCTCAGAGCGTTGATTCAGCAAGTCTGGGGTGGAGCCCAAGAATTTGCATTCCTAACGAGTTCCCAGGAAATGGAGAGCCTGTGGTTCTGGGGCACACTCTGAGAGCCATTGTCCCCAGAGAGCCATTGTCCCGGTGTGACTCTGAATCCTACTTGCCTAGATCTGTGATATCTTGTATCTATTATGATTCCTGAAAAACTCCAAGACAACAGTGGCTCAACTAAGACAGAAGAGCCTCTCTCTCTCTCTCTCTCTGTCTCTGTCTCTCTCTCTCTCTCTCTCTCTCCCCCCCCCCCAACAGAAATCCAGAGGAAGACCATTTCACAGCTTGTGTGGCAGCTCTGGGGTTACCAGGGATCCAGGCTCCCATCTTATTGTTAGACCATCTTACTGCATGAATCCCATTTGCAATGTCCTTCGGCATCCAAGACAGCTGCTGGCAAGTCCATGTCCAGCCATCCTGTCTTCATTGAAAGCAGAAGGTAGTAAAGGCAGACAGGTAAAAAATAAAGTCCCACATAACTTCTGCTTACATCCCATTGGCCAGACCTTGGTCACATGGCCGTATCTAACTGCAAGAGAGGCTGGGAAATGTAGTCTTTTTTACTCTGGACTGCAATGTGTGAGCTCCAAATCAGAGTTCTGGTACTAAGAGAGAAGGGTAAAATAGAGATTGGGGTGGGCAACTAAAAGTTTATGCCCATATATGCACCCTCTGATCTTTCCTAAGGGTTACCATTTATTTGGTATCCACCATGCTCCAGCTGCTTTTCATGTATTATCTCATTTAATCCTAAGAGCTTTGCAAGATAGATAGTAATTTTATCTCTATTTTGCAATGATGAAACTGAGACTTTCATAGACTAAGCCACCTGTTCAAGTTACAGTCAGCAAATGGTGTAATTTAACAGCCCACTTCAAAACTGGGGCTACTTCTTACCTCAGTTGTTCTCAGAGACCTGTTTTTTCCCTACTGAGTCTGCAGGGTGTTGGTTAAACCTTTCTAAGCCACATTTCCAGACTCCACCCCCTGTAGACCAGCTCATATCTGTCATTACCCATATCCCTACTGGCATACTCTTCAAAAATACATGAAGAGGCTGGGCTCGGTGGCCCAGCCTGTAATCGCAGCACTTTGGGAGGCTGAGGCGAGTGGATTGCCTGAGCCCTTGGGTTCGAGACCTGCCTGGGCAACTTGGTGAGACCTTGTCTCTACAATAAATCAAAAACTAGCCAGGCGTGGTAGCACGTACCTGTAGTTCTGGCTACTCGGAAGGCTGAGGTGGAAGGATCGCCAGAGCCCAGCAGGTTGAGGCTGCGGTGGCCAGGAGCGGCCACTGCACTCCAGTCTGGGCGACAGAGTGAGACTCCAACTCAAAAAAAAAAAAAAAAATCCATGAAGAAATACACACACAGTGTGCTAAGTATTAACAAGATTGGTTTTTCACTGCTGCTGTGTAAGTGACTACAAACTTTGTGGCTTTAAACAACACAGATGTAGTCTTTTATGGTTCTGGAGACCCGTTTCACTGGGCTAAAGTCAAGGCATCTACAGGGTTAGGTCCTTCTGGAAGCTCGAGGGGAGAAGCCATTCCCTGCGACCCTTCCTTAAATCTATCCAGCCTCTTGCTTGCGTTTTCACCCTGCCTATGACCTCTCTGTAGCCAGAGCTTCTTCTCTCGCTCTTGTAAGGATGCTTGTGACACATTGCGCGCCTACCTGTACAACCCAGGATAACCTCTGTATCTCAAGATACTTAGTGTAATCATATCAGCCTTTGCCGTATAAAGTAACACTCACAGGTGGCGGGGATCAGGGTGTGGATATCTTTGGGGCTAGTTATCAGCCCACCGCAAAAGCCCCCTTGCTCCTGTTCTGCATTCCTTGTCCCCAGTGTTCTTTCGTGGGCGATTCCAAAAACCTGCATGCATTTCTCTTCTGTGCTGGGATTTTTAAAGAGGCCAGGGACAAGGTCTGCAGGGCAAGGTGGTGTGTTGGGGGCCGGGGGAGGGGGGCGGCTTTCCAATCAGCCTCCAGTGTCCATAGTGACAGGCAGGAGCACATTCCAGTAGAGAGGCCTAGACGTGGCGTGTCACCTCACCAGAGTGACTTAACCTGTGCAGTGATGTACAGCGGAGACAACATAACTAGCAGACAGAGAAAGCGTCAATACCTTCGCTGTGATTCTAGGCACTCTTTCAGATCTCTGGGTGCCTCCTCCTGTCTTTCTCCACACCTATAGAGGCGTGCCTTAGCCACACGCCGCCACGTCCCTAGAAGAGTCTGATGGGGGGAGGGCGAGGAGAGTTAGAATCTGTACACGGCCTAACCTCCTTTCCTTCTCCAAGTGGATTCCCTCACCCCCCACCCAGGCACCCTGCCCCCCCCATGGCTGGGATGAGGCTGGGATGAGAGTCTGGGGTGTTGTATGTTTTGCTTTTTATTTTATTTTGCAAATGCCTCACAACATTCTCCTCTGTGTTTAACGTCCCACTGCCAAGTGCATGCAGTTGCCTGGCAACGAGAAGGAAGTCCCTGTGTGATTCACCAGGCTGCTGCCAATTAATCTGCTAGCTGCATGGGTCTCCCGGAGGAAAAGGCTTCTGGAGGGCTCTCTCGGAGACAGCTGGGAGGGCTGCTACCCAGGAGGGGAAGGGAAGCCAGGGGAAGGCTAGCAGAACTCTGGGCTTGTTTCGGTATTTTCAGGTCCAAATGAAAGGGAGTGTCCGGAGGGCCCGGGCAACACCTGGGGTGAGGACTCCTTCCTTCTTGGCCACCAATCAGAGAGCCGCCCAGGGCGCCTGAGTGCCTCTGTGTCTGCACTTTGGCTACCTCTTCGCTTTCTTTATTTTTTGAAGAGGACTCTAAAATGCAGACTCTCTCTCCTTTTCCAGTTCTCATGCAGAGAAACGCCTTGAACCGTCCTCTCCCTCCTTTATCCCCTTGGCCCTCCCTGTGAAATCCTCCCATCTCTGGCCATGAGTGCTCTTCTCTCTGGGCTTCTCAGCTGCTGCACCTGTCCCTGCCGGGTCTCTGCCGAAGTCCGCAGGGCTGTGGCCCTACAAGTCTGCTGAGGAACAGAGGGGCCCTTGGTGGTTTCCAGAATGCACCCAGAGCCTAGAGTGTATTTCCTTCAAGATGGTGCTCTCTTTGGCCTCTGACTTGCCTGAGGAGACCCTCGATCCAGGCTGCCTCTCTACTGTGGCCTGTGAGGGTGGGACCTACCTGCCTGGTTGATTTCTGTATCCACAGTAGCTAATCCAGCGTGGTACTTGTGAGTGTGTGGGTTTATGGTTGTTTAGGCACGGCCTTGTGAGTTGATGGTGATTGCTAGAATGGGAGACCCAGACAGCAGCCTCCTTCATGGAGCCTGCGTTCCCTGTGTCTGGGAATTAACTTCTTTCTAGCATGGCTGAGCCTAATCAGTTTTAAAATGGGGAGCCTTTGGTGGTATTATATGTATCTGTTACTCAGAAATGGAGGAGTAGGCTGGGCATGGTGGCTCACACCTGTAAGGAGGCCGAGGTGGGAGAATCACTTGAGGCCCAGAGTTCGAGACCAGCCTGGGCAACATAGTGAGACCGCATCTCTTCAAACAATATTTAAAAACTAGCTGGGCATGGAGACACATGCCTATAGTCACAGCTTCTCAGGAGGTTGAGGTGGTGGGTTCACTTGAGCCCAGGAGGTCAAGGTTGTGGTGAGCCGGAATCGTGCCACTGCCCTCCAGCCTGGGCAACAGAGTGAGACCCTGTGTCAACAAAAAGAAAAAGAAACTGGGGAGGTGCCGGGGGGTGAGAGGATGGAAAGTGAGGAAACCACGATGTGTCTAAGCACGTTTATTTGTCCTCTGCATCCGGGAAAGAGAAATGTGTCCAGCAATGTCTTCTCACTTCCTCTGAGGGGCCATTCCCCACTCTGGATAATTCCTAATCCATTGTTAAGGGAGTTTTGACAGCAGAGAGAAGTTCTGACTCAAGCGAACGCTAGGATTCAGAACCCGAGCCCTGCTGTATAGTGAGAACACTGACACCCTCTGGGCCTCCACTTTCCTATCTGCAAAGTGGGTGATCTGACACCCCCGTGCTCTCTGCCCCATATCTTACAGGAAGAACAGTGACCCGCTGAAAAACAGAATTTTCCACTTCCTCTGGGCTGGCTACAGTCTGCGGTGTTTTATAAGTTCAGCTCTGGGTTTCGTGGTGGGATTTGTGTAGGAGGGTTCCGGGTGATGATTCAGTGGACAGGGAGCTCCTTGAGAAGTTGGAACAGGCTTTTCTTTCCTCAACTAAAATCCTGCTCTTTAAAGTACATGTTCATTCGGTGGCGAGAACATCATGGCCCAAAGACAGTGAAGTGATCCCCTGAAGACCGTCTGCTGTAGGAGCAGAAGCTGGACTCTAACGCTTACGATGTTTTTTGTCCACAGGCAAGGGCTTCTCTTCCGCATCCACACTCCCACCAGGAAGCTTAGTGGAGCCCACGGAGGCCACCCGGACCCCTTGAAGGACCTGGCTAAGTCGGACCACCTCTTGAGAGGCAAGAGCTCTGGATTCTATCGAGAATTCTGATTTGGGAGAATAAGGAAACTTCTGGGTTTGAAGAAACATCTGGGTAGAAAGCAAAGACCCCCGGGGTCTCACTAAGGATCAGTCTGTACTGCCCTGAGGAGCAATCAAGATGTGCGTTGCTGGAGGTGACCTGCGGCTGGAGAATATTTGTTAAACAAGACCTTGTGCGTCTTTCTTTTTTTTTTTTTTTGAGTTGGAGCCTCAATCTGTCACCCAGACTGGAGTGCAGTGGCCGCTCCTGGCCACCACAGCCTCGACCTGCTGGGTTCCGGCGATCCTTCCGCCTCAGCCTTCCGAGTAGCTGGAACCACAGGCACGTGCTACCACGCCCGGCTCATTTTTTGATCAGTTGTAGAGATGAGGTCTCACCAAGTTGCCCAGTGCTTCTTTCTTGTGGAAAACATGTCCTCAGCTGCTGCCTGCTTATGGGACTCCCCCCCACCCCTGCCAGCCCAGCCCGCCCAGCCTGGCAACCAGAGGGTTTTCTGCCACACCCTTTTGTGCCCCCTACCTACCACGGCTGCTCTGCCATTGTGCTCAGCTCGGCGATTCTTCTTGTTCGCTCCATTATCTTCCAGCCGGATATAGAGTGAATAGTTAACCACACTTAGAACAAATGGGATCTTACTTTTTGTTCCTGCTCCTTGTAAAGAGGCCAATGTTTGTGCATTACAAGCAGGCTTGGAAGAGTATCCCTCCTCACGTATTTGGCAACTGGGTCCCAGGTTCCAGAGTGATACACGGATAAGTGCAGAAGTTCATCGGGCTCCCAGACCTTCGGGCTGTTGGAGAAATCTTCAGCAAGGGAGTTGATGGGGAAGGCTGGTGTTCTCCAGGTTCAACTTTCTTTGTTTGGATCACACACAGGAGTCGACGGGAAGGACAAGAAAGGAACCCTCTTGTTCATTCCGACTATCTTCTAGTCAGCTGTGAAGACCCCTTCACTCAGGTGGCAGTGGGCTCCATGCCAGACCACAGTGCTTCATGACAGACTAGCCAGCTACCAGGGTTGGTGGTGTTTATTGAAGACGCCCTTCCCCCAGTGTGTGCTGATGACACACACACACCTGACACCCACTTGCGTCTTTTCTATGCCTTTCACTCTGTGGCCACCACCTCCGTGGTTAAAATCACTTCCTAGATATCGGTCATGGTAGCAACCTTGTCCAAAATGCAGAGTCAAAGATGTTTGAAACTTTGCTATTTCCAAAGCAAATGGATGGTTTGCTTTGATAAAAAGAATAAAAGCTTCCCTGTGTTGTCGATGATGTGCTTTTATGACCATTTAGTGACTTCCGTGTCTTCTAAGTGGAGCAGTGGGTCCTTGTGGCCATCTCGGCTTTGCTACAGAACGGTTGAGGAGAACCTCCTGGAGATGTCTAGAGCTATTGAAATGTAAGACTGTGGGCGTTCACCTTCCTTCCTCAACACACAGTTATAGCCATTGTATTCCTTGGATTTCTTCAGGTGTAAAGGAACAGAGAGCCACGTAGGTTTCCGTCCCAAATGCTGATTTATTCTAAAGTCTCAGTGGAAGTAAAGTAGATGGGAAATAGTCCTTGTGGCTGCCCAGCAAAGCCTTTCCCAGAAGCCCAAAGTCACTCAACACACCCAGTAGCTATAGAAAGGATAACGAGAGCCATAGCATCATGCTTGCAAGGTTCCCAGTCCTTGACGCCAGAATTCTGCTGTCACGATGAACTGAGGGCGATCAGCTGTCCCGGTTTGCCAGGATTAAAGGGTTTCTCGGGATGAAGGACTTTCAGGGCTAAACTTGGGGCAGTCCTGGGCAAACCGGAACAGCTTGTCACCCTTTGGGGTGACTCAATAACCCTGAGAGTCCCCTGCTTTAACCGATGGATGCTTCTGATTGATCTGGCCAGTCTCCATGCAGAGCTCTGTGTCCGGTCATTTCATGGGCCACTGGGCAGCCGTAGATGGATGCCACTGGATCAGGCACCAAGCCTGACCAAATCGATTGTGTCCAGGATGGTAGGGTTGCACGATGTTGAATGAAAACCTGAGTTCTCATTAAGAAACAAAACTAATCTAGCCACCAGGAGCCAGGGCAAAAGGACTGTAATGTGTGTGCACACGCATGCACATACACAACACACACACACACACGCACACACACATTCTGTAAAATAATGAGCCAAAACCAAAAAACTCTATCTTTGCTAGACGGAGACAGAGAGCTAAAATGTTTGGGATGGTGTTGTCTGGAAAGCAAAGGAGTTGGCTAGAGGACTTCCTGAAATTCCTTTGAACTCTAGAATTCTTTAAAATATCAAGGGCTGAATATGTACTTTCCCTCTAAAGTCTCCTGGGTAACCTTTGAGTTCAACTCAGATAGTGTGCAGTGGGGCCTCCCAGCTCATTCTTACCTTTCCAGACACTGGCTTTATCCGGGATGACGGAGCGGAACTTGGCGGTGGTGGTGGGGGCTGGGTGGCTGAGAGGGGAGTTGTCCCAGCCCGCGGTTTTGGTGTTCAGGATGAATAAGAACAATCTGAGGGTAGGTTAGCAAAAGCCAGGCTTCCGGGCTCGCGTGGCATCCTGAAGTTGTTGCCGCTTGTCAGGGCTTCTGGCCTCTACCTTTCCTGCTGGATGGTCGACAGGCATGGATGTTCGCACTGCTGCGACAGGAGCCTTCTGCTAAGCTGGCTCATCTTGTGTGGCAAAGCCACGGGGAGGTCATGACACGCTGGAAGAGCACGCAACACCCATGTGCCGCAGCGTTTGCCCTGTGCTGACCCTTGACTCCTCGCCATCTCTACCATCAGAGGGATGCTAGCCCACCCCCTTGGGTGCCATCTTTCTTTTTTGAAAGGATGAGCACATTTCAGATATCCCCTTCATGTATGCCCCATGGTCATTCTTTGGGTCCAGAAGGTGTCCCACTCTTGTGTCAAAGGCAGCAATCTCCTCTTTCTCTCACTGCCTCTCTCCACCCCCCACCTCTCTCTTTCTCTCTCTCTCCCTCTCCTTACCTCCTCATCCACATGCAGTCACAGCAGCATCCCAGAGGCTGAAGTGGTCTGAGGCCTCACCCTTCTCTACACCAGTCTCTGACTAGTGCGGGACTCCTCTTTCAAATATCTGGGAAGGGCTCATCCAGCCCTGGGGGAGAGGACAGTGAGAGAGGCTGAGTGGCATTCAGCCTGATGAGGAAGTGAAAGAATCTTAAAGAGCAGCTCACAGGTGGGCAGGTGGCCACCGATGTCAGTTTTTAGTGGGATTTTGTGCTAAATGCATTTTTTCCTCTGCCCTAAACCTCTCAGTCTCCTATTTCTGAATCCATGTAGTGTTTCATGCTGGTCAAAAAAAAGTAGAGAGTTCAGGGAGACCTGAGTTTTTGTCTCAGAAAATCTCTCTTCTGAGCTCATTCCATGTAAGATGAGTGTTTCAGGCCATGTGATCCCCGAAGCCCCTTCTAGCTCTGACATCCACGATGCTGGCACATTTGGTGCATAAGCCATCAGCTTTCTGGGACTTCATGTCTTAAAAAGTTGTTATAGCTGGGCTCAGTGGCTCAGCCTGTAATCCCGCACCTTTGGGAGGCTGAGGCGAGTGGATTGCCTGAGCCCACGGGTTCGAGACCCGCCTGGGCAACTTGGCGAGACCTCATCTCTACAATAACTCAAAAATCAGCC